GAGGTATGTGTAGTGGCCAACCTGTGTGGTGCCCTCCAGCACCACAAGAAGTCCGCTCTTGAGCTGTCTCCCTCTCCCCTCCCCTCAGGCTGTCTGTGGAGTTAGGGCCTTCACCTAGCCACTGTAATAAAGTCAGCCTTCTTCAAAACAATGTTGCTTTGTATCAATACATCCCTTGCCTGAGCCTAGAAAATTCCTCCAGCTTTTCAGAGAAGCTTTGCCTGCTCCTTCTCGCCAATGCTTATTTCCTTGGCAAGTTTCCTGTAATTTGCAAAGATTAAAGATTTAAGCTTCTTTTATTGCCATGTTCTTTCCTGGTCCCATTATGCATTCAGTCCATCACTTCTATTGCACTGCTCCCAAATCCTTTCACCACGTGCCAAGAACATACCCCCAGGTAGACCTCACCTTGTGCCCGTGTGGGGACAGTCTGGCGTCTGCAGATGGACCTCCGCCAAACCATGCTCCTCTTGATTCAGCATGATCTTTCATGTTAAGCTGTCTGGATTTTAGCTTTACTCCAATTAACAAGAGCTTCTAACACTGGATATGTAGCAGGTATATGGTAGCTTTCTGTTCCTCTCTCTCTCTCTCTCTCTCTCTCTCTCTGTCTCTCTGTCTCTCATTCCCTGAACTCTGAAGGAACTCAGTGCAGCATTTGACGATGTGCCCACATGAGGATATGCATAATCTGTCTAGCACCACTGTGGGCCATCAGGGTAGACACAGGGGGCCCCACACTCAAAGTGCCACCTGCTCTTCATTTACCACCTGGAAATCCTTTTATGTTGAAAAATAATTTTTCTAAGTAGATTTTTAACAACCCATGTTTAACCGTATTTTTAACATGGGGTCATGCTTTCATCTTGCCCTAAGAACCGCACATTGTATGGGTGACCCCAGTATTGGCAATGCTGTCCTTGCTGCTGCCATTATGTGTGCACCCACACCTATATCTCAGCAGGCGAGACCTTGGGAGGCCTGATGTTTCCCCGGGTCCACCAGAGCCTAGGCAGATACAGAGCAGGTTGGAGGGCAGGGGAAAGTGGATGTGTAAAGAGGACACACCTGTGCTCATTTACTTCATTCAGGATTTATTAAGGATCTATGCTCTGTAATACAGGTTTTGGGGGACATGACCTTGAAAATGATATTCCCTTTCTTCATTCCCCAAGAACCCCAGACCTATAAGCCCAGTCTAAGCCACATGCCTAGTGAGGTAGAAATAATGCTCTGCCCTTGATTCACTGTGTGACCTTGAGCAAGTCATTTCCCTTGTCTGGACTAGATCACTATACCCAAATGTGGTTGGCCTCAGATCACCCATATCAGAATTCCTGAACTGCAGATTCCTGGGCTTCCCCCAGACAGACTCAATTAGAATTTCTAGGAGTGGACCCTGAGTTCTCTGGGAGATTTTAATATTCACTCTAGTTTGACAATTTCTGAGATTGCCTTTGGCTCTAATGGTCTGTGCTTGGTAACTCAGCTATCAATAATGTGCCATGTCCAGGAGGTGGAGGAGACTAGGGTAGGCACGAGGGCAGAGGCTGGAGGGGGCTGCTGTCATGACCAACCTAAGAGACCAAGCCCCAGAGGGACGCTAGCAAGGAATAGAAGCAAACTCTCTGAGCAAGTGGTAATATGTGGCTTGGGAAAATCAGGGCCCCAGGGATCCGGGGCTGCAGCCGTGGCCTAACCATAAACAAATACATTTGTGTGACCAGTCCTCTTCCAAGTCACCCAGGGCCTCTGGACAAGGAACTGCAGGAACACCTGCTTAGCAAAGCGGGATAGTGGCAGCCTCTTCACCCCCACAGCTCTGAGAGGCCTGGGGTCTGCTCAGCACAGCCATGTTCTAGAACTGCACTGTCCTTGTGTGGCTGTGTCAGTTTGCTTTGATCAATTAGCATGAAAACCTAGTTCCTCAGTGGTACTAGCCACATTGCGTAGCCCGTGGCTCCCTCGTAGGACAGCACAGGTTACAGGGCATTTCCTCCTTTGCAGAAACTTCCCTTGGGCAGTGCTGGTCTAAAAAGAACAGAAAACTTATCCATCAGTTTTCACTCCCTTCATCCAATAGTAGTGTGTTTGTAAAGAAATAAGGTTATTTTAGGGTTTTTACTCTCTGCCGCAGCTACCACTGCTTCTGGAATAAACTAGTGCTTCTTGCAAACCCCTAACCTGGTCTGATTAGCCTTGGGCGGTTTTCACTGGCACAGGGGCACTTGGCTGTCTGTTTTGCCCATTACTCCCAGAATCTCTGACAGAAAGGCTTCGATTCTCATTTCTTCCTCTAAGCTACAGGTCCACTCCTCTGAGCCTGTCTTACTAGCTATGCGGTTTCCCAACCTCAGTTGTATCACAGTTTCACATGGTCTGGAAAACACATTTTGGCACCTCTCCCAGTCCCTCCCTTGGCTCACAGACAGACTTTCTGTTCTTGCCAGCATGGGCATCCTGTAATCTCCACATCACTCCGTGCTCCTTTTCCCAGTCAAGCCTCTTCTTTGGGCTCCTCATTCCGTCTCAGACAGACTTAAGAAAATGTAGCCACTGAAAGCTGGCGACTCAGCCCCTTTCTACCACCTAGTCCTGCCTCTCTGGAAGTGCTCTTCCCTGATCTGAAGTCCATCACAGCATCCCTCCCCCACTGCCATGGGCCAGCCCTGAGCTAGGCATGGGGCAATGCACCGAGTGACGTGTGCCATCCTCTCTGGAGGAATTCACCATCTGCGGGTGAACTTATTCACCATATGGGAAGGAGTGACACAAAACCACAGGCATGCAGGGACGCGTGCATAGCAATTTGGGTGGGGTGGTCTGGGTAAAGAAATCACAAGTGACTGTTGATAAGAAGGTGGATGTGTTCGTGGGTTGTCTGAGATACGGTTCTATTCGGTGAAGCCATATTCTAGCCCAGAGTCTCCCTGAAACCCCGTGTCAGCCACTGGACTCCTTGTCTGAATTATGAAAGCTCGACCCCAGCCACCTGCTGGGGCTTTCTTTCCGTACACTGCAGCCTTGGAATTTTCCCAACTCTGAAGTGGCCCCCATGCCTACCTTGCTCAGGAGCTCCCATGCTTTCTGTGGGTCTTGCCCAATCCCGTGGCTTGCCCCAGCCCTTCCTTCTACGTGCTCCCAAACCTTCCCCAAGCCATGGTCACAATACTGACACATCCGCTCTCCCTCCCTAGGTTCCTGCTTCATCTTCCCTCCTTCCTTACTTCCCACCGGCTCCTCGTCCTCTTCTTTTAGAATATTTGTTGATGTAGAACCCAGACTGGCCCTTCCCATTCATAAGTGAATGAGGTTGAATCTCCCAGTCTTTCATTCGGTAGGTGTTGGCCTTGTGCAGAGTGCCCAAGATCCAGAGACAAAAGCCAGCACTCAGCTGCAGTGTGCCGCGCCTGGTGGAGAAGGCAGTGACGTACAGGTTGGTCACCGGGTGTGGCAGGAGCTCTAGCAGGAGGATGAGGAAGCTACACTAGAAAAAGAGGGGTTGCTTCGGGTGGGGCTGGAGGACTGAATCTTCACAGCCATGGCTAAGTGAGCAGTACAGAAGGATATTTCAGGCAGAAAGAGATACATCTATTTGTGCACACAGCAATGACCAGTAATGACCAAGCAGGCAGCCCTGGAAGGTGTGTGCACACGTGCCCTGAAGCAGAGTGCGGCCCAGAACAAGGCTTGGAACTGGGCTGCTTATAAACGAGGGAGACATCTACGCGGGTTACATTTGGGAAGCTCATTCTGCAGGCTGTTTGGACAGAAAGAGACAGAGAAGGGCTCCGATAAAGGCGATGCAGCCACCTACGTGCCTTCTCCACCAGTCGAGAGCGTCATGTATAGGGTGAGACAGGCTCTGCCACCCCTGCCACCTCCCACTGCCAAGGGCCATTTCTCCTGTCCAAGTTAAAAACCAGGAGGGAGAAGAGAGTGCTCCTTCGGCAGTCATCTGTGTCCCTAGCTGCGAGAGAAGGGCGGACACCCTGGCGTACAAGTAAAGCCCTGTACTCACATTTCCACTGCTGCATCATCACGTTTCCCTTCTGATATCCTCACCTCTAGCTCACGCCCCACTAGAGCAGTTGGTGAACAAAGCAAAATAGCTTCAAAGAGCCTACCCAGGAGGCTACAAAGGAACCAAGCTGGGTAAAGGCTTTTACACCATCATCCCATTCTACAGATTTGGCAGCTGAGGCAAGGAGTTGGTCTAACTGAACTGAATTAATTCCCTGTTGCTGCAATGATAGATGACTCCATAGTTAGTGGCTGAAAAAAACACACATTTATCATCTTAAAATTCCAGTGGTCAAAGGGGTTTTGCTAGACTCAATAAAATCACAGTTGTTGGCAAGGCTGTGTTCCTTTGGGAGGCTATAGGGAAATTCTTCTCCCCTGCCTTTTCCAGCTTCTAGAACAGTGGTGGCAGAACTATGGCACCAGGGTTACCTGTTTTCCTTCTAAGACAGAAGATGTTAATGTGTGAGTCTTTTTTTCTAAAGTAAAACCTCAATGAGCAGGTTTCACGGCCGTGTCGGCACTTTATGGTAAGTAAGAGAGTTTGGGGTTGCATCTTGGGTGCCGGTCTCCGAAAGGTTTGCCATCACTGCTCTGGAAGTCGCCTCCATCCCTTAGCTTATGGCTTTTCCTCCATCTTCAAAGCCCTCAGCATGGCATCTTACCATTTACCTTCTGAAGCCAAGACTCCTGCTTGCCTCTTGTGAGGATCTCTGTGGCTGCACTGGGTCCATCTTCACAATCCGGGGTAGTGTGTCCCAGATCTCAGGATCTGTAACTTAATGATGTCTGCAGCATCTCTTTTGCCAGATAAAGTCACACATGCAGTTCCCAGTGATGTCAGGGTGGATATCTGTAGGAGCCATTATTCTGCCTCCGACGTGGCCTTTTTAGCATCCCCGTGAGCTTTGCAACCCCAGGATTCCTTGGGCAGCTGTCGTAATTAACCATGGCTCTGTCCATCCTTGTTGTTGCAGAGGAAACGACGTTTGAAGCAGGAGTGAAAGTTCAGATCCACAGTCAGTCTGAGCCACCTTTCATCCAGGAGCTGGGCTTTGGGGTGGCTCCAGGGTTCCAGACCTTTGTGGCCACACAGGAGCAGAGGGTAAGTTCCCTGGGCTTCCCTGAATGGTGGTCCTCAGCCTGGTTCAGCCTACAGAAACATGAGGAGGACGTAGAAATGAGATCTGTATCTCTGAATCTGAATCCACCCAGGAGGCTGCACCGGAAACCAGGAGGCTCTATAAAGATCTTTACTCTGAAATTGGAGAAAGATGCTGATTAACCTCCTTTCCCCATTCTCCGGTACCACCTGTTGGTTCCTAAAATCGGGAATGAGAGAAAACTCGGCTTACTTCCTTTTTCACTGAATTGGTTGAGGATTTTGAGAAAACAAAAGCTTCTGTCTAAGACAGACAGAAGAGGGACCGGAAAATGGGTTACCCACCTATCCTGCTTCTCAAAGGTGTTTTATGGAACAAAGTCACAAGGTAGGGTAGGTTCAAGGTGGGGCAAAGCTGTAGTCAACTAGTAAGATTGCAAGTACAGTCGCTTACATAGTATTGGTCCAAGGAGAAATCACAAGGTGGACATGAGGGGCAACAAAATTCTGATGAATCAATAAGACTATGACAAGTATAGTCGTTCAAGTAATACTGATTAAATGGAGATCAAATTGGGAAGCAACTCACATAACAAGCGTAGAAGGAACCAGCAAATATTTTTGGTAAGAAGTGGGTCAGGGGTCTTTCCTGAAAGATCTTGGTTCCCCCACCCAGATGATTGATGCCTATTTAGAATATCAGTCACTGCTATTCGTCCTATGTGAGTGTGGTAGTCTCATTGTAAAAGAAGAGAAACTATCACCAATGGATTTTAAGGGAAACTGCTGAACAGGGTTTCACAATCTCCTTACTTGTGTTAATGCAATTCAAAGTAGCCTACAAAAAAAGGAAAAGGAGGGAGATGTCACTCTCCTTCATAGCTAATGGAGTGAACCATTCGTTGTACATGGACTCCCACCTGCCATTTGGTGTGGCCCAGGGAGGGGCCCAACCAGGCAGCCAGGTGGACTCTGCCAGTCTGTGGAGGGAGGGCTGGCATCGCCTCCTGTCAGCAGTGGGTTTTACATCTCCAAAACGAGACTCATAAGCTCTCAATAGGGAGAGAGTCTCAAAGCAGGATGGCAAAAAGACGTGGAAACCATTCCTTTCTCTTATCTCCTGGATTTTTGACATCTGATTTGCCTAGAATAAAAGTTACAGAGATGAGGACACCCAAAGAGCCCTCAACCAGATTACAGGAGACAATTTTCTAGGGGAGGTTCTAGGCAGGAGGAAGGCAAGGTATGGTCAAAGGAGAGTCAGAGAGAAAGGTGACCAAGCAGGGAGGGACTAGGGATACACATAACTTAGGATATCAGCTTGTTTTTAAAATTTGACTCAAATACCACCTTCCATCGAGTACCAATCACAGCTGTTCAGCCATTTTTAAAACAATATTGTATATTAAAAATTGGTCATGAATCTGTTAAGCAAGTTCTATTTTTGCATCTGTGGAGAAGTGTTGATAGTGAAGGCCGCATCACTGTGCCCCGCACACAAGCTGGGGCAGTTGGTAAAAACCAAGTTCAGCCTCCGCCACAGCACTTGGGGGTGGGATGGAGGCTTTTAGACAAGAACAGAGGCTGCTAGGAGATCAGCCTGGCCCCCACAGGCTCCAGAGACCAAGGTGGGTGATGTGAATGAGGGTGTCTATGAGTGAACAAGGTGGGATCCAAATGGTGCATCCCTGAGGGGAAGAAGGACTTTAGGGGCAAGGTTAAGACCAAGAATTTGAGTGCCAGGAAGAGTGAGAACATAGATCACCCAACAAAGGCACTCAGAAAGACAGGCAACCTGGGTTAGCTTGGAGCCTGAGCTGTTAGCTTCATTGGGCTCCTGAGTCCTGGCAGGGATAGAAGCCAGGCACTAGGGAAAGTAGTCAGGGCCGATTCCCATCAGTAACATCCCAACCCAATAGTGAAGAAAGTCCAGTGTGAACAGAACTCAACTTGCATTTGGGCAGAGGTGACCAGGGGTTTTAAAGGAAGAAGGAGAGAATGGGGAGGAAGGAGAGAAGAGATCGGGTAGAGGCCTGGAAGCAAAAAATGACAAACGGTGGAAAGGTAAGGGATTGATCCACATGAAACCCTCTGGGTTTGCTCTCACTGAAGCTGGGGGGCAGGGACACTATCCTTGGGTATTCACTGGAGCAAAGGGTACATTCTTTCACATCCTTTAGTTTCTCAGGCAGGCGCTTTCAGGAGGCTGCAGTCACCTCGGGGATGGCTATGTTAGTGTTTGTTAGGGTCTGCATAGGCCAAGGTTGAGGGCCAGTAGAGGAGAGGCTCAGAGGGTCCTGGCCAGTCTGGTCAAGTAGAGACCTGTGCCAGCACTCTCTTGGGGTATGTGAGCAAGCTCGTGTCCCTCCAGAAAACCAGGCTCAGTTCAGACCAATCAATGTGCGCATAGGGGCCAGGGATTTAGCTCAGTGGCACCACACCTGCCTGGCAATTGCAAGGTCCTGAGTTCGATTCCCAGTACTGAAATAATAACAATAATAATAATAATAATAATAGATGTGCACATGAATTCCTGAACTACCTATAAGTAAGTTTTTGACTTGTCGTCCAAGGTAAATCTGACTCCGGTTTGTTGAATGTACCAACCACTACTATCTGGCAGTGACATGCCTCTGGTCTATACCTTGCTGTTAGCAGCAGAATAAATGAACATTCTTTGAAATTTGAGGCCTGACTTCTTCCTCCCCCTGATAGAGGTGGGAGAGGACGAAGCTCTGAGAAGCTGCTATTGTTCATTGGCCTGAGAGATGTGCTTATCTCTGTTACCCTCCATGTGTGATATGGAAGGAATTTCTGGGCTGAGTAGGAAATTGGAACTGATGATGTTGAAGAAGACTTGAGTCTCTGTTTGTCTTCTGCATATCAAACTGAGGGACTCCCTGCGGTGAGTGGGATGAAGAAACGGCATATTCCCAGCTTAAGCATGCGAAGTTTCGCTTCCCTTTGAAATATATTCTCAGCAAATCAGCCTCATTCATACCAGTATTCCTCTGATTTTTATAACTAATAATAAGATATTTGTTAAACATTTTGCAGTCTTCAAAGCCTTTCCGCATCATATCATTTCATCATTTCATTCATATTAATAGGGAAATACAAAACACATCCCAGAGTTAAATCTAATAATACATTATGTTTACATGTATATAAAAGAGCATATTCATAGGAAATAAGGCTTGAAGGAAATAAGCCAAAATACCCACAGTGAGGGAATTATGAATGATTCATTTTCTTTTCTGGGCTTTCCACATCTTTGATAATGTGCCTTTATTATATTTATTCATTCAGCAAATATTTGTGATTATCCTACTATGCGGGGGTGGCAACCCGAGCAGACCCAGTCTCTGCCCTCATAGAGCCTACAGACTAGTGTTTTCTTTAATGAGGGAAAAAATAATGTCAAGCCAAGTATAAGGCAGGGACTTGACCTCCCCATATGTTCTCCTTCTGCTGTGTAGTAGGCTACTCAGCCAACCCTGGTGTATTCAAACACAATATTGTTATTGGTTACTAAGTGCAGTTTTTTACATTTATGCAATCGGGATTTGACAGTCAATAGGATCTTACAGTTACAACGGACGGTGTTTTCCCCTTTTGGGAGTACAAAAAAATCACAGTACCGCCTATGGTCTCTGCTATATCTGCGAAATATGGCAGCTGCATTGCTCTCAATCCAAGTTTCTGCTGGCTCAGCGCACAGCTCAAAGAAACATTGCAAGAAGGCCAGGGGTGACAAGACAGTGGGGAGCAGAGGGCCCTTTCCTGGAAGATTGATGTGAATCATGCTAGGAAAATTAACTCCAGAGTAAGAGGCCTGGGAGGAACTGGTGAGTGAAAGAAACCATGCTGTGAACAGGGAAGTCCTTTTTGTGTGGCAAAAATCCTCCTACCATGTATAATTACACACGCACACGCACACGCACACGCACACACACACACACACACACATATCTTTTGATATTTTAATTTTTATTTTATAATGCAAAAAAGAATACAATCTTGGACTGTAAGCCAGATCCATGATTTTTTTTTTAAATCTGCATTTGCCTTAAACCCAAATAAGCCAAGGTATTTCCCTAGCTCCTGGGATACCCTGAGAAATCCTCCCCTGGCCAGCCAAGATGCTTGGGCACCTGCCCAATCCCAGAGCCTCCACACCAGAGACAGGCAGTGGGCTAGTATACCAGGAGCAGAAATAGAAGCCTAGAGGAATACAAGAATAACAATAGTTATTACTAAGTGAGCATGGGCTACCCACCAGGCATTAACCTGCAGGATACCTGATGTGCACTATCTCATTTAATCCCCCTTCATAATTTCACAAGGGCTATTATTATCTCCTCTTTGCAGATGACAAAACTGCATGGTTAAATAACTTGCTCAAAGTCACACAGCTGGGAGAATAACAAAGCTGGGCTCTAAGCCCAAATCTATCAGGTCCCCGTACCTGTGTTCTTTCAGCATGGCTGAAACTCAAGACAGACTCTCTAGGGACAGAGTGCTGGGAGCTAACCCAGAAAGGGATTGGCATCTGCGCATTTTCTTCTCTTACCCTAACCTCAAAGAAACAAGGCTACCCAGTGCTATGGAGAGCAAACCAGCCTGTGAGCCCAGAGGTACTAGTCGTGACTACCATGAGACTTTTAGACAGGTACCCCACCCTGGGCTTCAGTTTTCCCATCTGTGGATTGAGAGGATTCATTAGGTGACTTTAAAAAGCCTCTAACACTCACCAGGGAGTCCTTGCCTCTGTTCACTCAAGGGTAGAAGGATCTCCGGGAAGTTTGGCCATGGCAGTTTTGTACCCACTGTCTGTTCTGCCAGCTGCTGATTCCCTACATCATGCCAGTTGACATGGGATGCTGGTAAGATCAATTGGGAGATAAACCTCTCTCTAGCTCTCAGAGTAGAAATTCAAGCTCCTGACTGTGTGGAATAAGAGATGAGGTAGGTAGCAGTCCTAAAACTCTAGAGGAGAAGTG